AGCACGCGCTGTTGGTGGCTTCTCATTAAAAATAGAAGTAGAATGCCAGTCAAAACTCGACGCCACTGAAGCAATTGGGGCGGGAGCTGATATAGTAATGTTGGACAATATGAAAGGAAACGTGTTATCGGAGGCAGCAACAAATTTGAAAAAGAATTGGAGCGGCACCAGAAAATTTCTCAGTGGGAAAATCACCGAACACAATATTACGGAATATTTTCTCCGGGTTTGTAATGAAAAGAGAGCGTGTGGACGAATATGAAGTTTTTGGTGATAATAACTTGTGCTTTTTTTTGTAGACGTTGACATTTTGAGCATGGGAAGTCTATTCCAAGGCGTGCCTCACGTTGATTTTTCGCTGAAGATAAAGAAGGCAATATAATTTATAGTTTACAAGTCAAAGTATGCTGATAAGAATCCAGAATCCCGCTTGCACATTAACTTATAAATAAACACTTGATATTCTAAATCTGAAAGCCTTTGGCGAGCATACTGGAGTCATGTGCAATACATTAAAGTTGTCCAATAAATTTAACTAATCAGATTAATATGACGCTAATTATTGGATAATTCGCGCAAATATTTCGTAATTAACAGTGAGAAATCATTTTTTATATATTCTTTACTGCAAGCAAAATATTGCCTTCTTTATCCGACCAAACAATTGGACCACTTCCTCCTTTTCTTCTAAAAAAGTTTTCAAGAGCAAACCATTAATTGCCTTGAAATTAAACTTCTTAGGGATATAAAACGTGACTGCGCGTGATGAGTCATAGAGAGGGAAGTTTCCATCAAAAAGAATAGTTTTGTCAGGCTTGTCCATTGCCTTCTCAACATATACTCCTGAATGTGCAATTTGGGCAAGACATGACTGCTCAACAAAAAAGCCATGAACTGATGGATTGTCACCAAATTCTGATATATCAATTATCCACTTTTACTTTGGATCCAGAAGAACTTTCTGTCATATTCTAAAATGATGGCTGCCATGGCTATTTATATTCTTGTTGATCCATAAACAGGTTTTCCAATTTGTTTCTCATCCACATAAAAGTAGCAGTGATCATACAAATCAAAGGTTTCAGCCACAGCTTGCGGAAGCAGGCATTTTTGCATAAATGTGATGTAGCTGTCAAATCATAAAGAGCTATGTAAGAGATTGCATCATAAAAAGGTAAATGTAATATTGATATAAAATACACTTTACATACAAAGTCTGCGAACAAGTGTACTACGAAACACGAATCATGAAAGATAATAGTCAACGTAAAATAGTTTGTCTAGCAAGAAGGAAATTATTCTCTAAAGAAATAATTAGTTATAATGTCCGATCTTTCTCCTATAAATAATTAATCTTCGGGTAACAGTTAGTGACCTTCGAACTACAAGGCTTTACACCTACGATCAATAAGCACGTTAAAATCCTGGATAATTAATCGTCGGTTACTAATTCGATAGCCTCCCGTTGGGGTCTCAAAGTGTATAATTAAGTACGTTCTGCTAACAATTAATTATCGTAAATTGCCGTACGAATAATTGCGGGGCAAGGGGCAATTGTTCTTAGTTGGTATACGGGTTCAAACGGTTTCTGAGATATATCAACCAATTTAGAGAATAGGCGATACTCGTAATATAAATACATGATCAAAGGAATCAAAATAACCGAGGCGAGATACCCCGATTCTAGTTGAAATCTAGGCTGCTTATATATCTTTCAAACGTCTATTTTTAGCAACTAATGCTAATAAACTTGCAGATTGTCAAAAAGTTGCGATCGACTCATGTTGCATATTGATAAAACTGAGTTAATCTCTAATAAATTTGTCTCTTTCATCTCGGGACACCTTTTATCTGCGGCTTTACTTTTCTTTTGGTTGGTCAAGGCATAGTGAAACAATAGCTGTATTAGATAACAAAAACAAAACGATGTGTCCGAAATTTCTAGAAAACTGTTACTCTTCAAATCCCTAAAACTCAAAACTTTTTTAGTTGATTAAAAAATCTTAACCGTAACTTTTGTTCTGCATCATCTGTTCTATCATTCTTCCGGATTAGTTTTCTCTATGCCCTCTAATACAAAAGCCTTAGTTTTAGGGTTTTGAAAGTTGTATAATTTATTTCGAGCTTTAGATGATACGCAACACAAAAGATCTGCATATGACAGACACAATCGTTCATTGGTTCGCAATAAATACAGTATGTGTGATATTGGACACTCCCACCAACGTTAATGATTCTCCCCAAATATGTCCCAAGGTCAATCGTCTAACAACACATTTAGAGAGTGGTTAGCTAAGAGTGTCCAGGAAGGATTTATAAAGCACTATTCGGAAGACGATATCCTGGATCGTACACTTCTCGGTCATGGTGGATACGGTGTCGTATACAAAGCCCGGATAAAGCATTCTGGAATACTAGTCGCAATGAAAACTTTGTTTCTAAACCGATACGGATGTGAAGACGAATTATATAAACAGTTTGTCAAAGAGGTTGTTGTCACTAGTTATCTATCGTCGTTATAAGTTGTTGCATAGCATTTAAAGGCTGTATAAACTGAATTATAATATAATAGCTGAGAACTCATAAACAAGTGGATGATCATCCAAACGTTATTCGGTTCTTAGGAATATGCCAAGGTACATCAAATAATATTTGACGTTATGTTTTTCTGTACATAATATTATAATTCATTCAACCCTGTAAACTTATAACCTGAACAGATTTATCTGGCCCCTATCACATGGTGTTTGAATATGCAGACGGTGGGACTTTGTTTGAACATCTGCAGAAATACTTCCCTAAGCTGACATGGAAGGACAAACACAAGCTGGCTTTGGGGATTAGTGATGGATTGTTGTATTTGCATAAACTTGATATTGTTCACAAGGACTTGGTATGTGTTGATATACAGCTTTTTTATCAATGGCATATTAATATTTAACATTCAAACTAATTATCATATTGATTGTTATATACACTGGAATCAGTCCTCATCAAACATTCTTCTCCAAAAAGGCATTACAAAAATAACAGACTTTGGATTATCTAATACTCTTAAACAGATTATGTCTACATCAAAAGGTGAAGGAAATATGGCATACATTGATCCATTATCTTTTAAAGACAAATCTTATAAACGTGGGAAACAATCAGATATCTTTAGCCTTGGAGTTATACTTTGGGAGATCTCAAGTGGGAAAATTCCCTGTGAAGGTGTTACTGCAAATTATGAAATTTTGTTATACAGATTGAATGGCTCTCGTGATTCTCCATTTCCTGGAACCTCTGAACAATATATTGACCTATATTCCAAGTGCTGGGATGAAGACCCTAAAAGACGCCCATCAAGTGAAACAGTAAATAGATTACTCAAATTGCTGATTACCCAATCATCAACTTACATACTAGATTTGAGTGAATGTCAAATTGGAAGCACAGGAGCAACAGTTTTAGCAAAAGCTCTAGAATCAAATTTCTCATTATCTTCTTTAAATATAGTCTACAATGAGATTACACATATAAGAGCAAAATCTAATTTGAAAAAGGCTCTGGAATCAAATTCTTCTTTAACATCTCTAAATCTATATAGGAATCAGATAGGAGCTACAGGAGCAACAGCATTGGCAAAGGCTCTGGAATCAAATTCTTCTTTAACATCCCTAAATCTACGCATGAATCAAATAGGAGTTACAGAAGCAACAGCATTGGCAAAGGCTCTGGAATCAAATTCTTCTTTAACATCTTTAGATCTAAGTTCTAATGGCATAGGAGATACAGGAGCAACAGCATTGGCAAAGGCTCTGGAATCAAATTCTTCTTTAACATCTCTAGATCTAGTATTAAATCAAATTGGAGATGCAGGAGCAACAGCATTGGCAAAGGCTCTGGAATCAAATTCTTCTTTAACATCTCTAGATCTTCAATATAATCAAATAGGAGATACAGGA